ACTTAGGTTTGACATCTCGTTAACTTGAAATAACCGAGCATAATTTTGGTCCAAAAAAACAAAACAAATATACATACATATATATAATGCTATCGTAATGCAGTTAAGTGTCACCTTCGAAAAACGAGTTTTCCTTTGCGTTTTTAGTATTTTCTTTACCAAGCTAAAGTTTTTATTTATATGCATACATGATCGTGTGTAGAATTGTGTGTTAGTCTTGGTCTTTATTGAATTATCTTGAGTAAATGAGTGTTCAAAATATTTTTGTTAGTTTAAGTTTTCTTCAACATAGTTGCTCGTCCAATACTCTATAAGTGTGGTGGTTTTTATTTCACTTGGTTGCCATGGTTGTACTGTTCACGAGATTTTTAATAGGTATATTTTGCTTTTAAATTAGATTCTCTTCCTGTTTAATGTTTTTTTTTGTTGTTGCCTTGGTTGAGCTGGCTGATAAATTTTTACTGAGTTTATTATTTTGTTTTGTATTCTAGTTGCTTCAGTTCTCGTCAAATCATCTGTATCTGTATCTGTATGGGTACGTTGTAGTTACCAATACTGGCTTTTATATAACGGGGGTGAAGGCGCCGTCGATTTATTGACGTTTTGCGAGAGCAAATTTAAAGCTCTCCACACATGTTGCGCGCACAATTGTGTCTTCTAGGTGGTTCAAGTTAATTATTGTGGGGACACAAAGAATGAGTTTGTCTGTATGGGTACGTTGTAGTTACCAATACTGGCTTTTATATAACGGGGGTGAAGGCGCCGTCGATTTATTGACGTTTTGCGAGAGCAAATTTAAAGCTCTCCACACATGTTGCGCGCACAATTGTGTCTTCTAGGTGGTTCAAGTTAATTATTGTGGGGACACAAAGAATGAGTTTGTCTGTATGGGTACGTTGTAGTTACCAATACTGGCTTTTATATAACGGGGGTGAAGGCGCCGTCGATTTATTGACGTTTTGCGAGAGCAAATTTAAAGCTCTCCACACATGTTGCGCGCACAATTGTGTCTTCTAGGTGGTTCAAGTTAATTATTGTGGGGACACAAAGAATGAGTTTGAATGTTGCGGTGTTTTACTGGTGGGAATGTCAAAACACCTAGTATTGTCTCTCACTTGTTTTTCAATTATGTTTGTTGCTTGATAATGGCTGTGTAGAATCTCTGGCTTTTGTTTTTGATGCTTAGGATGTAGCTGTTTTTTGCGTTAAATCGCATACCCCATTTGTTTGCCCATTCTTCTAGGTTTGCTAGGTCTTCTTGCAGTAGTTTGTGGTCTTTCTCTGTTTTGATGGTTCTGTACACTGTACAGTAAGCAGTCATCGGCGAACAGCCGTACTGATGATTTGACAGAGTCCGGGAGGTCATTTATGTGACATAAGAAGAGTAATGGCCCAAGTACTGTTCCCTTTGGAACTCCTGAGTCCACTTTTACTTCTTCAGACTGTTCTCCCTCTACTACTACTGTCATCTTCCTCTGTGTTAGAAACATATTTAGCCAGTTGTTTAGTTGTCCTTGAATTCCGTATTCTCCCATTTTTGATAGTAATTTGTTATGCGGTACAGTGTCAAAAGCTTGGGAAAAATCCAGGATTGCAATGTCAGTTTGTAGCCCGGCATCGAATGCGTTCATGGAGTCGTGTAAGGTGACTAGCAGTTGTGTTTCACATGAATAGCCAGATCTAAATCCATGGTTTGGGCCCTTTATAGCTTGCTGTTCGGTGTGAGCCAATGCTCCGTGTTGAAGGCCGTACCTTGACCTATAATGGTTTACTTTTATATATTGTAACTTGGATGGAGAGTTGTCTCATTGGCACTCATACCACATCTTCCTATATCTATTGAGTGATGTTAAGACTCTGTGCTTTTCAAGATTTTTAAGGATGTGCTTGCATATAATGTTTTCTAGAAGTTTGCAAGGTACCGATGTTAATGAGACTGGTCTGTAGTTTTTTGCAGCGTCTTTTTGAAAACACACGAAATGTTTGCGTTGAGCCAGTCTTCGGGTAGTATTCCAGTGTCTATTGATGTTTGGAAGATGGCGGTTAGTCCTGGTGCTATTTCTGTTGCACATTCTTTTAGTATTCTGTTTGGGATACCATCTGGTCCAGATGCTTTCGATGGATTTACATCTTTGAGAAGTTTTTCGAGACCTTTAGTAGTTATAAGTAGTTCTGGTATTGTTTCTTTGATGTAATTTGTTGTTTCAGGCATTTATGTTGATTTGTCAATTGTGAATACGGATCTAAATTGTTGAATTAAAATTTCAGCCTTCCCTTTGCTGTCACTGACCATCTTCCCTTTGTTTTTTAAATGTGATCCTCCAATGTTATCTGTTTTCCTGGATTTGATGTACTTTCAGAATGGCTTTGTATTGTTTGTGTCTAGGCCTTTGATGATAGTATCATTGATGTAAGAGTATTCTGCTTTCCTGACTTGCCGTTTTACTTCTTTTTGGAACTGTATGTAGTTAGTCCATTTTTTTGTTCGTTTGGCTTGTTGGTATAGCCTTCGTTTCTTTTTTAACAGTTTCCTTATTTTGTGGTTTATCCAGGGTAAGTTGTTCTTAGAGCAGATTTCTTTTTGAAAACACATCTTTTTGAAAACACATCTTTTTGAAAACACGGGTTTACAGTAGAACAGAATACTTAGGTTTGTCATCTCGTTAACTTGAAATAACAGTTTCCTTATTTTAACAATATAATAACAGTTTATTTACTCAAGATAATTCAATAAAGACCAAGACTAACACACAATTCTACACACGATCATGTATGCATATAAATAAAAACTTTAGCTTGGTAAAGAAAATACTAAAAACGCAAAGGAAAACTCGTTTTTCGAAGGTGACACTTAACTGCATTACGATAGCATTATATATATGTATGTATAGTGTCTTCTAAAATTTATTGTAATCTTCATATTTGATAAAACTATCCGTGTTTTCAAAAAGATGTGTTTGTCCATACTTTGAAAGAGTTCTTTCTTGAAGGTGTCACTCATTTCTTGTGCGTTTATTCCACGATCCTGCATCTGTCGGATTTTTGTTGATATTAATGAAATCTCGCTCTTTTATGTTGTTCCAGTTTGCCTTAGAGTATTAATAGCATTTCCTGGGTTTGCTACGCTGATAGTTAGGTTTGGTGTCACAGTCTGTAACTATCATTTCATGGTCTGATATGCCAGGTGATATAAAGGAGATGTGTGATAGAGCAACCTAAAGACAAATAAAACGAAAAGACCTCCCAGTTCAAAGAGCATAAGTATAGATATAAAATAAATGGGGAATGTGTCCATGGGACACAGATGATGCCCCTGCTTGCATATAATGTTATAAAGGGGCATAACTCAATAACAGTAAAAGTGACGCTACCCAAATTTGTATTTGATCTGAGTTTTGTGGTAATAAGCATTGTGTATAAGTTTCATAAAATTTGGTTGATGCAAACTTATGTTAGAGAACGGAAACTAAAAATTCAGCAATTTTTCCATTTGTAAAGGGGCATAACTCTAGATCGGTAAGAGTGATGACACCAAAATTCAATCTTGATCTGTGTTATGTGGTAATAAGCATTGTGTATAAGTTTCATAACATTTGAAAGTAAGAGAACGGAAACGAAAAATTCAGAAATTTTTCCATTTGTAAAAGGGCATAACTCTAGAACGGTAAAAGTGACACGACCAAAATTCAAACTTGATCTGAGTTTTGTGGTAATAAGCATTGTATATAAGTTTCATAACATTTGGTAGAAACAAACTAAAGTAAGAGAAAAGAAACTAAAAATTCAGCAATTTTTCCATTTGTAAAGGGGCATAACTCTAGAACAGTATAATTGCCACCACCAAAATTCATACTTAATCTGTGTTATGTGGTAATAAGCATTGTGTATAAGTTTCATAACATTTGGTTGAGGCAAACTAAAGTTAGAGAACAGAAACGAAAAATTCAGCAATTTTTCCATTTGTAAAGGGGCATAATTCTAGAACTGTAAAAGTAATGCCACCGAAATTCAAAATTTGATCTGTGTTTTGTGGTAATAAGCATTGTGTAAAAGATTCATAACATTTGGTTGAGGCAAACTAAAGTTAGAGAAGGGAAACCAATTTTGGTGGGACGTACGGACGGACATACAGACGGACAAGGGTAAAACTTAATGCCCACTCTGCTACAGCAGGGGCATGAAAAAATCATAGAACTGAATCACATGAAGCCAGGGGCAGATTCAGGAGTCAGGATTTGAGGTTAGCAGAGGCCCAGCTCTTGGGAGTGTTGCTGCGCAGATAGAGTTAAAATTTTCAAATATAATGGGGTCTCACATTCACCGTGTTCCCCCTTGAATCTGCCCATGGAAACTCAAATCAGAGTGAAACCAGGTTCCTATATATAGTAAGAAATGACTTAAGATGTTCTTGGTAAAGAATTTAACTGAGCAGTTGTTAAGTTATTACATCTCTGTTAAATCCCCATAAGAGGAACATGTTCTGGCTATATGGAATCAAATGAGATAGGAAAATCCTAGAATGAGGCTGTTGAACAATGGGTCTAAGCATGTAAGGAAAAGATGTCACAGTATTGATAATCAAAGGTAAATAATATACCACATCATATGATCAGATTAAGCAGACAGTTTGGAGCCATAATACTTTGTTAGAAAGCTCTATACCAACTAGCAATATAATTGCTTTTTGATGGTATGTTGATATAATGTTTTTTGAAGTTACATAGGATTGATGTTTGTTTAATAACCAGTGGCCAATATTACATGCATATACAGGAAAAAGGGCATGTTGGGAGAAACCCAGTAAATTTAACTGAAACAGGTGACCTATGTATTGTCAGGGAGACATCCTCATTCCCTGCACTCTTCTTGATGGATTTAATGTCCCATTCCAACCCTTTTTAAATTACCTTGAAGTATAGTACATTTGTAATTTTCCTTTCTTCACAATTTTAGACGATATATGTGTACTAAATACACAATAAAAAAGAAGAAAACACAAATATAGTGAAATGCTTTATTGCCTTTAGTAAAATGTATCAATGCTTACTCTATAAAAATATTTAAAAAAAATAACAAATCTCATAGAGAAACTGGCATATGGAATGACAGTGTAAGTTCATATAACTTTCTGTATTGACGGTTCTTGCAATCTAAACCAAAGTTATCAAATTCTGCAGTGAAATCTTTTGAGAAGAGACTGCAGGCTATTGTTTCACAAACATTCCTGTCATAAGTTCTTCAAACTTTGAAAATTTATAAAGTCAGATCAATCTTAAACTAGATCTCTTGAGAAATGAGGTCCTGTACTGATATAATGTGTTTAAAATACCATCAAAAATTCATTATACACATTACAGATCATGACTTGAGGCTGTACTTTTTGCTATGCAGATCAACAATAAGATCAACCATGTTTCTTTGTAAATAATTGGCTGACAGACATATCAACCAGCTGATTTCTTAGGACAAGATACTTATTCAATCTTACTATGTTAAAAGACTGAAAATTCAATCTATGTGACCTGAACCCAATCGTTTCAAAGGTATTTGTACAATGTAGTTGCTGTTTAGCAGGGCACACCTAACTAAACAATTAATCAATAAATAAAAGATATAAATGCAATATATGTGTGTTCATTAACAAGGTGTAACGTATTTATCTGCTAACAAATAATAACTCTACAAACTCAGTAACTTATATGACTAAGTCTAGAAGTACTGATTTTTCAATTGAATGTTATAAAATCAATTTTTTACTTGTGCCATTTTCACAATATATACAACTATTAAATCATCTTAATAACCAGCTTAAATTCATTGAAAAATAAACCCTGAATGTATTAAACAATTACATTATCTTTGATATTGATCAAAATTCATTGAGGAAAAAAAATCCTCTTTAAATTTTTATTTAAAAGATAATAGTTTTATTATGTTCTACTAAAAACAGTAGTATTGCATAACTCCCACCAAAAACTTTATATATCCCTTCATAATGATTGATTGGTGTTTAAGGCCACTTTCAGCACTATATGTTTTTTCATGGCAGCCTTTTTTCATTGGCGAAGAAAGCCAGAGTGTCCCGAAAAATCAACAGACCATCTGCAGAATAACTGAGTGACAATCCTAGTAATAAATATTTGAGTCAAACGCACCTGCCACATGGGGGTTTGAACTCACAACCTCAGTGTTGACAGGCTATTGATACAGTAGATGAACCACTTAGACCACTCAGCCACCAAGGCCTCTCCTTCTTAATGATGATGATACATACATAATATAATATCAAAATGTTAATCAGTTGTCTACATAAAAATTGTTGGGCTATTTGACCCTGTCTGTTTAAATGAACCCATAGCCTGTAAGTTTTATGAAAAGCAAGAAATGATAAAATATCAATCAGTTGTCACTAAAATGAAAATCTGAGATGAAGATTAATTATTATTCCATCTCAAGGATCAGAAACTACAAACATTTCTATCTAACATATCCTCTGTTAATTAATAATGTGAAAAATATTATCAAAAAGTTTGTACCGGTATTCTAAACGAAATGTAAAATGAATGACTTGTCCACAGTTTTTACCATGTTCCAACTACCTTATTCTTACTGGTAGTAAAACATGGACAAATTAAAATTCTTACTTTTCAGCTTTATATGAGTTTTTTTATGCTGAACATCATCAATTCTAAGTTATAGAAAGAAAGGATATAATTCGTTTTGTCCGAACAGCAAAACATTATTTTTTATCTACATCTTTTTTTCTCACTGTAATCATAAACTCATCATAGATCAATGTCACTGTTGCCTAAAAAATAGGAACACATAAAATTTATGCATACTGTGAATAGCTGAATAGTGAAAATGGAATGCATGAAAGCTGGATGAAAACAATGGAAGTTGATAGTTTTATCAAATGATTTCTTTGAAACCATGAAACCAAAAAATCCATCCATAAAATAACAGTGATATATATTAGTCAACAAGGCACCTAATTTGTTATGACTAGAACTAAACAATTCATATTTACACATCTGGATTTCAAAAAACACATATCACAATATATGCACCCAACTTGTAAACAATCCTAAAGAAAATGTGGAATGCAATGATTTAGTATTATAACACACCAAAATGGCAACTGCTGGAATCTTTCCTAAAGAAAATATGGAATGCAATGAGAAAATGTAGCAACACACCAAAACAGTGACTAATGGAATGTAATGAACTGCTCAAAAATGATTCATAAATGGAAATGCTTAACTTCTGTTTATTTAAGAATGAGTGATTTGATGTTTTTATTGGTGCAAAAAATTGACTGGATATAAATTGTATTACCATATTCAATTTTCAATTTTTATTTTGAGATAAATGATTTTTTTAAGTAGCATTTATAAATTGATTTAGATTGTGATGGTTTTGTTGTTACATGTACTATGTAAAAAAATTCTAAAAATATCTTCATGATTGTAAAATAAACTTGACAGTTTAAATGATTTTTAGTGAAGAGTGTTGTGGGGATAAATTATGAACAGAGAACATTGCTCTTTTTTACAGTGAAAATCTACATAAAATTACTGCATGTACATACTTATTAAAGTAAACTAATGAAATGAGAAAAAAGGATTGCAATATTCTATAAAGGTAAAGATATCAAAATTGAGATTGCAAATAACTAGTGAGGAACACATATATCTAAAAGAAATTATAATTCACAAAAAAAAAACAGAGATTCAAATGATGGCAAGGTTTTGAATGATAAAAGTGGTGAACTTTAAGATTGTGTTATCTTAGGTTGATGTCAATATGAGGAAAACAAAAATTAGTTTATAAAGGGAGATAAAACCAAGTTAAGGGACATAACTCGTAAAAATCAGTGGTACGTTTGTGTCAATAATTTGCATAAATATAAAGTAAGCTTGTAAGTAACACAGATTCTTTCAATTCTCTTTTACATGAATGCTTAAAAAGCATTGATGAAACTTTCTATCACAAACAATTTATTGACGAAAAAAGTGATCTCTTTTTACCCAGGTTAACCTCCCCCTTTTCCCTATATATATATTAGGAGTAAATTCAGTGTACTGATGATAGTGCAAGTAAAATACAAATTGGTGTAAAATTAATATATTGCAAAGATTGCCATTATTGTCATTTAAACATGACTGCAAATCATCATTAGTAGACATAGTTGATTGCTCTTCTGATTGTAATATTGAAAGTAGCTTATTACAGAAGAATGAACAAGGAAGCATTATCCTGCTTTCCACTGCCTATCCAGAAATTAAACATGTAAAACTGTACCAGAGTTCTGTGGATTCATTTCTTTTGGATTCAGGAAAAACAGTTTTTTCTTGGATACTTGATTTCATGTTCAATCCACCAAAAATAAATATCCAAAGAATAATAATGAATCCACAGTATATTGTACAAAATAATTCTAACATTGACCAACAAAAACTTTAGTCACAACCTCAACACAAAAATCATGGACTATGCAGGTCATTAAATGATTAAACAAAAGTTGACTGACCAAGGTTTCCAATGAGGTTTATCTGAGAAATTTTAGAAATCAATGACCTCCCTTTAATAGTTCTCTTGACATGAATTTAAATTGATAGCTAATTGAAATTTCACTGTTAAGTTAATCTTAATTCACATCTTCATGTAATAAATGAAACAGGTATTATACAAGACTATACAAACTACTGCAAAGAAGAATTCAATAAAAAATATTAAAAAACATTCCTACCAAAAATAAATGTGATTTTCGTTTAGTATTAAGAAAATTATTATCTAACAGTATGCACAAAAAATTGCATTCACACATATTCCTCTATTTCAAGAAATAAGTGATTCAGAAATGTCAGTATCACTAACTAACAGTATATATATTGTGTCTAATAATCATATCATTTACAGACTACAAGTTTTGTAAGTTAAATATATTTGCAATCATCATTGTACTAAAAGGAATTACAGTTAATATAAGTCAAAGGCTAAAAAATTAAGATGTTGTTTTTAATTTATAAAAAGAATTATAATAATGCTCTAATTTATCCAACTTTAAAAAAAAAGTTGCTCATTTTCTCATTTACTTTGAAATTTTGATAGCTAGAAGGAACCAAAAAAATCAAATATGTTGTTTCCTCACCATATTTTAAGCTGCTCATCAGTAAAAAAAAACTCAACTTTATTTAGAAATAAAAAAAATGTTCACTTAGCAATATTTTCAGCATAATAAATAAAAAAAACCACAGCAATTATATAATTTGTTTATGGCCTTAACATATAAATACTTCAGTACCTTTCAAACCTGATCTTCCTGAAAATTTATTCATAAATAGACAAATCACTAACCCTTAGAGTCTGATACAAAGAAGAAAAACTTACTTTGGAATAAAAATGTCATGACAGTCAACAATAAGAAAGTAACAAGAGAGAAACAAAACTTCAATAAATATCACAAATATCATACATCACAAAAACACTTAAAAAAATAACAGCAAAAAAATGCTATAAAAATAAATGCATAAAGTCACAACTATTTTAACAACCTTCTGTATATATTTCAATAGATGATTTATCATTTATAAACTTTAAAAATGTACACAACCTAATTAAAATTAGTATTTAGATTTGTCTACAAACTAAATTTATCTTTGAATTATATTTAAGAAAGACCTTTAGATTGATCCTGCAGAGCTCTAAATGAATAATATGAACCTCTTTATTTCTTTATTATGTTGAAAGGTTCCTCTGAGAAAGGTTAGTCGTCTTGGAAAAGTAGTTCCAGCAATTTCCCAATTTTTCTTATGGTGAGAGAGCAGAAAAATCGATTCAATCATTGATAAAAATCAACTATTATTAGAATAGGAAACCACCTATTTTTAAATTTGCATATTTGGCAAGTGTGCCACTGTAGTTTTTAAAGTTTAGACTGTACCATAACTATAAAACAGTTCTTTGACTACAACCTGTTATGGTGGTATAAAGTCTGGCAAGTAAGCTGCAGCAAAATATCATATGTACCCTCCATAGTACAATAAGTATGATGCATAAGGAATATGAGACAGAGTTGTGTCCCTTTCTGCGTTCTATCATCACAGCATGTTTTTTCTGGCCAATTTGTCTTTCTGCAAAATCGAAAATTTCTTAGTCAGAAAACAAGTCTTTAAATCATATTATCTCAAACAAACATTTTTCTATTGCTGCATGTTTTTATTTTAAATATATTGATAATCCAGATTATCGCTTGCTTACTTGACAATCCTTAATTTTTTGTCTCTTTGTTAAAAAATGTTGCATTCCTCTTCTATCTTTTATGGTCAAAAATAAAATGAGATGTGGGAGGTATACTCCAATGAGACAGCAACCAAACAACACAAATAACCAAAAGACATCTAGAAGGCAACATACAGTGTTCATAGGCAGGTGTCAATACAATATGTCAAACTCTAGGTCATTTCAAGTCTTGAAAAAGATGTGAATAAATTGAACAGAAATTATCTAAGATCTGCCATCAACACCAAATTCTCCAATTAGCAAAAAACCCTTGAGAAATGATACAAGACAAACAGATATTTTCTTGTTCTTGTATTTAACAGCTGCTCTCTTACTAACTTCTCTCAGATTTTCTCTTCTCCTATTTTATATAGAACAGCTCTCTTTTTAACCAGGATTTTTGCTTAATGTTAAAAACTTAAATTATTCATTATATTTCTAACTCACCAAACTCCCAGCTTTTCTTGTTCTTGTATTCAATAAGGCAGCCTTCTTACCATCCTGTAATTGCTTAAATCTTTTCTCTGCTTCTTGTATTCTGGTGAAATAAAAGTCAATATACACAAAGTTTTTTCATAAAATTGGGAGATTATTCAATTCATTTCAATAATATATATAGAGATTCTGTCAGGGCTACATGAATTCTGCAGGAAAAGGCTACACAATTTCTTAGTGTAAAAGGTCAAACAAATATAGAGTCTTTAAAACAAATATATTAAAGTCATATGAAACGAGTGACTGGTGAAAAAATGTTAATCCAATTCTTGAACCAATGCATGCATATATCATAAACTTAGTCTTCTGTGCACGATTTTTTCATTTTTTACGTATCCATATCGTATTATCGTCAAAAAAATATTTCACTTGGTCAGTGTTGTGAAAATATGGCAGCTAATTAATGGTCGTGTTTTTAAACCGAAGTTTACCCATTGTTACCTTTGTAAACAATCAACAAAGAAGCATGAATATTCAGGTAAACACGTGTATAACATGTACAATAAGATATACAGTTTATTTTGATGACGGAGCCATGTTTACATTTGTTGACTCTCTTTACCAATTTGGGTTTCCCCTTCACATGCATATTGCGATCTCCAGATTTTTACAAGAAAGGTCATGCTGAGATAACTGCATACGGAAAACATGTCGTGACGAATTGTTGGCTGGAAGCAAACAAATAAAAAAAAGTAAATTTCTTCTGAATTTGGACAAATTAAAGAATTTTCTTCAGAAAAGATTTTATGTATATAAGTTTTGTAATAAAAAATAGCCATTTAGTAATAAAAATCATATGCATCATTTTTTTTAATTTGAAGTTTCATATGACTTTAAGTTCCAATCCAATTCCCAAGGTAATTCTACATTCAAAGTTATTGTGATTAGGACAAAAGGAAGCAAAATAAGAGATAAAAATTTCCTAGCATCTTTAATTGGTATATCATCTGAAACCTGGCCTATTGTATATGATTGAAATTACACAGATTATTTTCAGCATTTACAGTAATGATCTCATGTAAGAATTGATATCAAACTTCGATAACTTTTCTACAAACCGATCAATCATCAAGAAAGCATATTATATATTGTATGTGACTGACAGACAAGCTTACTTTATTTTAAGGACTTTTTGTTGTTCTTTCTTCCACATTTGTTTAAAATCCCCACAGAATGATGACCATGATGAAAAGAAATACTCTGGAGTGACAAACTTATCTCCTGACTTTGGTTTTACACAAAAGTAAATTACAATTTCATCAAACCTGTAAATTAAAACATTGAAATGGATAACTTTTTCATTAAACACATAAAACGACTAGATGTGTTTATATAAGGCATGGATACACAACCTAAAAAATAATCACATGGATGTTTAAAAGCTTATAGTTATGCCTCAAATGTAGATCAAGACGATCACAAGGGTCAGCAAAAACTATTAAGTTACAGCATGCTTAGGGTAATGTGAAAAATACTGTTATACAACTATTGATATCTCATTTGCAATCATACCACATTTTATTTTATATTGTGTATCCTTCTTTCTTGTATGCGTTTAAATATCAACATAGTATCAAAGATGAAAAATTGAGTTAAAGTTTCTTATTACCATCCTTAGTACTCAAGTTTACTATGTTGACTATTCTTTCAATCCTTTTTTTTTCGGATGTTTTTAAATTCTTATTTTGTCTTCTTTCCTGCTTGTTATGTTCTTATTTCTCTTTATCAGAATAAATTTACTCCAGAAGTAATATAAAGGGTATTCAAAATAATTTTCAATTAAGGATGTTCGCTCCTCTTGTTTTTGAATTTTTGCAAGATTTTTTTGAAATCCTCTAGTTTTATCCATGTATTGCCATTAAAAAATTTTGCCCGCTAACCCCTACTTTTCTTTTCATAATTTTATTACATATAGTTTTAAAAGCCATATTTGAAAATCTTATAAAATCCTTGTTATTTTTTCATAGTTTTTAAAAGAAAAAAGCGGCCAATGTTAAAAGTATGAAAAATCTAGAGAGTATCATTTCCCGCCAAATTTTCAATGGTTTATATCTCGAAAACAAGCACAAGGACCCTTCATTTTCTTCTGCTTTTTTAGTACCTTTGTTTATAAACTATCATTTTATAACGGTCTTTTAAAAAACTTGATATTTTGAAACATAGTAGCAAACAACCTTAAAACAACAATTTACAATTCATCCTTTATGTTCTATACTGATTTCATGTGGTATAAGAAAGAAACCAAAATAACTACATAATCTCATATTGCTTATCACTTCATGTATAGATATATTCTATATTTTATGGAAAACAATCCAAAGACATTTTACTTACATCATTTTAGCCTCTTTGATAGAATCATCTTGTTCTTGTAAGTCATTTTTACCTGAAAAGAAAGTAAAACATCTCATCATTGTGCATGCTTACAAAAATATATTGGATATCAATTTATATTTTAAATGTATACTTAAATGTTTCATCATTTATACTGATGACCGATTCGGCATAATTATATGTGTATAATTAGACGTGTAGAAAAGACATTATGTATCAGATCAGTGTCAGTAAATAATCCTACAGACTGGATACTTGTCAGCCATGTCATTACAGAAATATCTATATTAGATATCTTTCACGTTCTGTTTTGTATGAAAATGTGATTTTTTTTATAAATATATATGCAGATACCACACTACTTGTAGCTATTTTAAGAGATACAAAAAAGTTGGATACCAAATTTGGCATCACTTTAATATGAAAAGTACTTATTAGTAAATTATATATAATAAAATGTTCACTTAAAGGTAATCATGAATAAGTAATTAGGGAAAATAATGGTTACATACCCTTTTCAAAGAAATCTTCCATGACAGCTTTAAACGGTTGAAGATCATCTTCATGAGCATGTTTAATTACTTTATTCGATCTTTTAAAAGCAGCTGAAAGATAAGTAAATACAAACTATTTAATACAGTGAAACCAGATCTAACCAAATCATGAGTGAGCATCTTTATTTCTGTATTCGTCAATTTTAAGGCCATTTTCCTAAATTTTTGTTTTGCTCTCTATGCTTCTATTATTCTCTCTTTGTTATATTTTAGCACCCATTCATAATTCTACTTTTCTATAAACCCCATCCAGACCTTCTTGAGATTACTCAATTCTTTGTTACTGTATGTATCAGCTTGTACAATGAATATCATATTGAGATTTAACATAACACTAATCTTTCAGTATTGATGGGTAAGGTTTAACCAAATAATCAAACAATTCATTCTCAATCATTAGCTCAAAGATTAGACTATAGTTTTGTAAACTTTTATTTCAAAAGTATTGCTCAATAAACCTGATAAAAATAATGCTATATTAAAACTTCCAAATTACCTTCAAACTCTTTCTTTATTCTCTTTAATTCTTTGTCTATTTCATCAAAATTAACCTGCATTCCTTGTGAGATGTCACTAGAATCAGGAAGTGGTAAAATGGCCTTCTCTGTTCCAGCACTGTCATAATCAAACTTCTTTATATAAGTCGATACAACAAACTGCAGCAAACTTGATCTGTTATCCTGGAAATAACAAGTTATCTCTCATAGAATATTGTTATGAAGTATATATGTATATAGATTCTTCTTCTGTTGCCATAAGGTAATGATTTTTCTCCATTTGAAAGCTAAATTATCTCACAGAATATTGTAAGGAAGTATACATGTATATATATTTTCCTTCTGTTGCCAATGGGTATAAACAATATTTCTTCACTTAACTTAAATTTTATATTTACAGCATGTGACCTGCAGGAAGCATGTTATAATCTAAAATTCAAACACTAGTATTGAGAGTGATAGAAATTTTGTATTTCATTAGCAATCAGAGAAATTGTTTCTCTAATATGTTGTCAGTCTTTCAAGTGAAACAATCTGTTTATGTTTTGCTATTGTGAACACCTTCAAATCATTCTGAGCAGCAAAGCAGCAGAGAGTGAAATGCAATAAGGTATTGAAGGTTCTTTTGAATGATTTGTTCAAATCCATTTACTAGTTTAAATGTGAATATAAGAGATACGGAAGGAAAGACATATGGCTACAGTGAAACAACCTTGACCTACCTTTGTTTTTACATCTTTTAATCTAGGCAGTATACTTATATCAAAACCATCAGCTTGACCTCTACTTCTATTTCCTAAAATTCAATTAACATATTTTAAATTCAGAAAATTTGGCTTGCATTTATTACTGCCACTGTTGAACATTGCACCAAATGAGAGATTAATTACAACAATTTCAAGTAATGCTGCATACAAGTAATACTTTCAAAATTTTAAGGGTATATCATGGAAATTTCAACATTGGGTATGGTTGCTGTTGGGTCATGTCAAAACCCTTTCAAATAAAAACAATATTTGTTATAAAATGAAAAGAAAAAAAAAATCAAAGCTCACTTTACAATGAAGCTGAATAAATTAAAAAGTGTGCAATATAAAAAAATGATCAAGAAAAATTCCCAAAGAGTACATTTCAGAGCAAAACAAAGAAACATGTGATTAAATTTTCTCAAGGAATGTCTTAATAAGACCAGACAGATGAAATATAGGAATGGGTGAAGCAATAATATAATTAAACACATATAAGTTAGCGTATTATACAATCTTTGTAAAATTGTTTAATAATAACTTACCCCCATTCATATAATTTCCTACAGCTAACACTAATCCTAACACATCTTTCACTCCCTTCCCATTCATCAATGTCTACAATAACAAATACACATGGTTAAAAAAAAAACAAGATGATATGATTTCCCTTTGCAAAAAAATGCTTCTGTAACAAACTTCATCAGATACCCTAAAGATTAAAAGTTTGTTTGAGTAAGGAAAAAACTCATATGGCAGATACAATGAAAAAGTATATGGTACATAATTCATATCACCAATGGTAAAGGAATCTTTCTTGCCAAGAATAAATTCTTGTCATTACAGGATATATACCTGAACTGATTTGAATAGGTAGCTCCTAACTAGCCTGTATTTCTAACCTAATACTATATGTTAACTTACAAAATAGGGCATACTAGACGCAATGGCAATTATTCCTATTTTCTAAGCCATAAAATTGAGAATGGAAAATGGGAATGTGTCAAAGAGACAACAACCTGACCAAAGAGCAGAAAACAGCCCAAAGCCACCAATGGGTCTTCAACACAGAGAGAAAAACATATACCCGGAGATGGGCTTCAGCTTGCCCCTAAACAAAAATGTGTCTAAACATTTTTTGAGTCATCTAATTAATATACATAACCATATTACTTAATAAAATTTAAAACATAGCTGATTACATTCATACTATATATGTACATTTATTTCTCTCTAAGTATGACCAAACATATTAATATCTTACATCAGAAGTCATTTTTAAGTTGTTGAGTTTATTCTCTATCACAGAAATGCTTTCTTGGAAATTTTCTTGAAACAAAAAACAAAACATTCTCTCTGCAAAATCTGGTATCACAGTTAAATCATACAGAAACCTGAAAAAAAAACACATTGTTATATGTTCTCTAGTCTAAACATGTATCAGTTACAAATTCTTTTTTTAAATGCAGTATCAGCAAGCTGTTACACATCTAAAACGTATACAACAACAATTACACCAAGAATGATATAAAATAAGAACATTAAAATGAACATAAACATCAATATATATTAAATATTTTGGATAAAAATATTCTCCATCAGTATGATTTTACCTCTGGCAACTAATGCAAATAATTAATAAAGGATATTTGTTATCTGAAAAATATTCATGGATTTTTAAAAAATTATTTTAATTATCAATTAAAAAAATTTACACATATATTCTATTCATTTTGTGTGCACTGTAACTTTCTAAAAACCATCTGGTGCCTTCAAAAGAAAGTTATTTGACTATCATCAAGATTTTCTAGTATACACACATATCATTTTAGTAAGCTGATATCTTTGTTAAATGTTACAGCTGTTATCCTAATTCTAGCAAGTTAAAGGTTTGGTTTGCTTGCTTGCTTTGTTTGTATTGAAGTTTGCTCAAGCATTGTAATTAAGATTGACATCGGCAAACAATATAAGTCGGCATTATTTATGGGTACACCAATTTCATGTATTTAGTAGTTTAATAAAACAATTAAATCTACTATCAAATTGGAAAATCTAAAAGTTTACTGTGGATTTGTTTATTTTTGTGTATACCAATATTCATATATTGAAGAAAAATTGTATTTTCCTGGAGATTGCATTTTGGGGATTCGTTAAAAATAAAATCTGCCTATGAAAAATGTCTACTTTGTTGAACATAACAAATTGTGATTTACCTACATGTATAACCATGAAAATTGGTTTCTGACAAATAATGAATCCACAGTACTCTATATCCAAAGTGTCATTTTAGAGATAACTGTATTGTATTTGAAGCTTTTCGGACGTCCATGGGTAGTTTTACTGTCCCAAATTTAGTTTACGCTTATTGTCATCCAATCAGAACCATTGATACAAAATAATTGCATTAGAATTACTTTCATATACAGTTAATCATACTTACTGATCAGGTTTATCAAGAGGTACATTAGGGTTTTGATCTAAATGTTTCTTTATTTTTTTAATTTCTTCATCATCCGCCCTCTGAAATGATAAAATTGTATGGAAAAATAAAGAAATATGACAGGTTTCATGAAATCAAATTTTTTTAATGCGGGCAGACTTAATATTTAATAACATATAAAGCAATTGAATTAAATTTCAAACTAGAAAGAGGATAAGTCTCACCCTACTATGAACCAAACATCAACAAAACTGTTTTTTTGCATACAATTATATTCAAATTTTATCAGAAGTGGCTGTTTCTGTAAGAATCATCCACAATATAGGTTTAAACAAGAATGTGTCCATAGTACACAGATGCCCCACTCGCACTATCATTTTCTATGTTCAGTGGACCTTGAAATTGGGGTCAAAACTCTAATTTGGCATTAAAATTAGAAAGATCATATCATAGGGAACATGTGTACTAAGTTTCAAGTTGATTGGACTTCAACTTCATCAAAAACTACCTTGACCAAAAACTTTAACCTGAAGCGGGACAGACGGATGAATGGACGCACAGACCGAAAAAACATAATGCCCCAAGGTGGGGCATAAAAAAAAAATAAGAGAGCTTTTAGTTAGAAAATTGTTGGTCAGGAAAAACATACAAGAAAAAGAAGTATATATTTTAAAACAAGAGTGCACACGCTGAAATGTCTCGCCTTCTTTACTAACCATTGATTTTATGTTGATAGTCCTAAATATAAAGCTTTACTACAAGTAACACATAAACTTAACATGATCCAAGAAAATGAGGTCAGGGTCAGATAAACCAAATGAGAAATACATGTACACCTTACAATCATTCAATAAACCAGACATAGTTGACCTATTGCTTATAGTTTCTAAGAAACAAACTTAACCATGAAAACTTAACATTGACCAATGAACCATGAAAATGAGGTCAAGGTCAGATGATACCTACCAGACAGACATATACACCTTACAATCCTTCCGTACAACAAATATAGTTGATCTATTGTTTATAGTTGAAGAAAAACAGACCAAAACACAACAAGAGTGCACACGCTGAAATGTCTCACCTTCTTTACTAATCATTGATATGATTATGTTGATAGTCCTAAATATAAGCTTTATTACAACTGTCACATAAACTTAACATTAACCAAGTAAACTAAACATTGACCAATGAACCATGAAAATGAGGTCAAGGTCAGATGAACCATGCTAGGCAGGCATGTACAGCTAACAATTCTTCCATACAACAAATATAGTTGACCTATTGTTTATAGTTTAAGAAAAACAGACCAAAACACAAAAACTTAACACTGAGCAATGAACCTTGAAAATGAGGTCAAGGTCAAATAAAACCTACGTGACTGACATATAGATCATAAAATATTTCCATACACCAAATATAGTTGAAATATTGCATATGGTATTAGAAAAAAAGACCAAAACTCAAAAACTTAACTTTGACCACTGAACCATGAAAATGAGGTCGAGGTCAGATGACATCTGCTGGCTAGACATGTACACCTTACAATCATTCCATACACCAAATATAGTAAACCTATTGCATATAGCATAAGAAAAACAGACCAAAACACAACAAGAGTGCACACGCTGAAATGTCTCGCCTTCTTTACTAATCATTGATATTATGTTGATAGTCCTAAATATAAAGCTTTATTACAACTGTCACATAAACTTAACATTAACCAAGTAAACTAAACATTGACCAATGAACCATGAAAATGAGGTCAAGGTCAGATGAACCATGCTAGGCAGGCATGTACAGCTAACAATTCTTCCATACAACAAATATAGTTGACCTATTGCTTATAGTTTAAGAATAAAATGCTCCGCAGGGCGCAGCTTGATACGACCGCAGAGGTCGAACCCTGAACAGTTGGGGGAAGTATGGACACAACATTCAAGCTTGATACAGCTTTGGATTTGGATTGTGATTAAATATTTGACACAGCATAGGTTTCTAACACAGATTGAATGTGGTCTAAGAACTTAAAAATTTTAAATTGGACATTCATCTATTATGGTCCAATATCCAAAATCTAAATACATGGTTAGATTAAGCATATCAAAGAACCCCAAGAATTCAATTTTTGATGAAATCAAACAAAGTTTAATTTTGGACCCTTTTGACCTCAATGTGGACAAAGTTGATAACGGGGCCCAAAAATCAAAAATCTAAATACATGGTTAGATTCAGCATATCAAAGAACCCCATATATTTAATTTTTGTTGAAATCAAACAAAGTTTAATTTTGGACCCCGATTTGGACCAACTTGAAAACTGGGCCCATAATCAAAAATCTAAATACATGTTTAGATTCAGCATATCAAAGAACCCTAAGAATTCAATTTTTGTTAAAATCAAACTAAGTTTAATTTTGGACCCTTTGGACCTTAATGTAGACCAATTTGAAAACGGAACCAAAAATTAAGAATCTAAATACACGGTTAGATTCGGCATATCAAAGAACCCCAATAATTCAATTTTTGATGAAATCAAACAAAGTTTAATTTTGGACCCTTTTGACCTCAATGTGGACAAAGTTGATAACGGGGCCCAAAAATCAAAAATCTAAATACATGGTTAGATTCAGCATATCAAAAAACCCCATATATTCAATTTTTGATGAAATCAAACAAAGTTTAATTTTGGACCCTTTGGACCTCAATGTGGACCAATTTAAAAAACGGGGCCCAAAATCCAAAAACTAAATACATGGTTAGATTCAGCATATTAAAGAACCCCATGAAATCAAGAATAAAACCCCATTGAAATTGGTCAACAAATAAGCAATTTATAGGAAGTATCTTCATTTGCACAATCCTGTGCTATTAAATATTTCTTGCTATTGCGCAATACTGTACAATTGACAATTTCTTGCTATTGCGCAATATTGTGCTATTGGATATTTCTTGCTATTGCGCAATACTGTGCAATTGAAAATTTCTTGCTATTGCGCAATACTGTGCAATTGAAGATTTCTTGCTATTGTGCAATACTGTGCAATTGAAAATTTCTTGCTATTGCACAATACTTATTATATAATAATTTACACATCCTGTTTGGTGTGTATCTCCTACCATATCATTATTATTTGATTTTAAATATAAATCAGAAATAACCAACTTAAAATGGAAAATTTTAAAAGAAACAAAAAAGGAAAAAAAGAAAAAAAAGGAAAAAAAAATAAATCCCCCCCCAAAATTTTTTGAACCCCCATTATGATTCAACACCCCCAAACTCAATCCCAGCCTTCCCTTTGTGGTATGGTACCTTGCAATACAATTTCAGAGAGATCCATACACTTGAACACAAGTTATTGTCTGGAAACTAGAAAAAAATGTGTTTTTTGGCCCCTTTTAGGCCCCAAATTCCTAAACGTTTGGGGCAATTACCCCCAAACTCAAACCCAGCTTTCCCTTTGTGATATGGAACCTTGTAGTACAATTTCAGAAAGATCCATACACTTACACACAAGTTATTGTCATGAAACTAGAAAAATGCTTGTTTTTTCCCCTTTTTTGGCCCCTAATTCCTAAAATTTGGAGGCAATTACCCCCAAAATCAATCCCAGCATTCCTTTAGTGATATGGAACCTTGTGGTACAATGTCAGAGAGATCCATACACTAACACACAAGTTATGTCTGGAAGTTACAAAAATGCTTATTTTTGGCCCCTTTTTGGCCCCTTATTCCTTTACTGTTATTACCATAACCCCCAAAATCAATCCCAACCTTCCTTTTGTGGTATTGAACCTTGTGGTAAAATTTCATAAAGATCCATTCACTTAAACTAAAGTTAGAGTGCGAAAACCAATGTGTCTTCGGACGACGACGACGACGACGACGCCAATGTCATACCAATATACGACCACAAAAATTTTTTTGCGGTCGTATAAAAACAGACCAAAACACAAAAACTTAACACTGAGCAATGAACCTTGAAAATGAGGTCAAGGTCAAATAAAACCTGCGTGACTGACAAATAGATCATAAAATATTTCTATACACCAAATATAGTTGAACTATTGCATATAGTATTAGAAAAAAAGACCAAAACTCAAAAACTTCACTTTGACCACTGAACCATGAAAATGAGGTGAAGGTTAGATGACACCTGCCCGCTAGACATGTACACCTTACAATCATTCCATACACCAAATCTAGTAGACCTATTGCATACAGTATAAGAAAAACAGACCAAAACACAAAAACTTAACTATAACCACTGAACCATGAAAATGAGGTCAAGGTCAGATGACACCTGCCAGTTGGACATGTACATCTTACAGTCCTTCTATACACAGAATATACTAGACCTATTGCTTATAGTATCTGAGATATGGACTTGACCACCAAAACTTAACCTTATTCACTGATCCATGAAATGAGGTCGAGGTCAAGTGAAAACTGTCTGACAGGCATGAGGACCTTGCAAGGTACGCACATACCAAATATAGTTATCCTATTACTTATAATAAGAGAGAATTTAACATTACAAAAAATCTTAACTTTTTTTTCAAGTAGTCACTGAACCATGAAAATGAGGTCAAGGACATTGGACATGTGACTGACGGAAACTTCGTAACATGAAGCATCCATATACAAAGTATGAAGCATCCAGACCTTCCACCTTCTAAAATATAAAGCTTTTAAGAAGTTAGCTAACGCCGCCGCCACCTTAGCCGCCGGATCACTATCCCTGTCGAGCTTTCTGCGACAAAAGTCGCAGGCTTGACAACAACTCAACTGTAACCACTGAACCATGAAAATGAGGTCAAGGTCAGATGACACCTGCCAGTTGGACATGTACACCTTACAGTCCTTCCATACACCGAATATACAAGACCTATTGCTTATAGTATCTGAGATATGGACTTGACCACCAAAACTTAACCTTGTTCACTGATCCATGAAATGAGGTCAAGTGAAAACTGTCTGACAGGCATGAGGACCTTGCAAGGTACGCACATACCAAATATAGTTATCCTATTGCTTATAATAAGAGAGAATTTAACAAAAAATCTTAACTTTTTTTTCAAGTAGTCACTGAACCATGAAAATGAGGTCAAGGACATTGGACATGTGACTGACGGAAACTTTGTAACATGAGGCATCCATATACAAAGTATGAAGCATCCAGATCTTCCACCTTCAAAAATATAAAGCTTTTAAGAAGTTAGCTAACGCTGCCGCCACCGCCAGATCACTATCCCTATGTCGAGCTTTCTGCAACAAAAGTCGCAGGCTCGACAAAAACTTAACACTGAGAAATGAACCGTAAAAATGAGGTCAAGGTCAAATAAAACCTGCGAGACTGACATGTACATCATGAAATATTTCCATACACCAAATATAGTTGACCTATTGCATATAGTATTAGAAAAAAAGACCAAGACTTTAAAACCTAGCTTTGACCACTGAACCATGAAATTGAGGTCAAGGTCAGATGACACCTACCAGTTGGACATGTACACCTTACAATCATCCATATACCTAGTATAGTAGACCTACTGCTTATAGTATCTGATATATGGACTTGACCACGAAAACTTAACCTTGTTCACTGATCCATGAAATGAGGTTGAGGTCAAATGAAAATTGTCTGACGGGCATGAGGACCTTGCAACGTACGCACATACTACATATATCCTATTACTCATAATAAGAAAGAAATTAACATTACAAAAAATGTTGACTTTTTTCAAGTAGTCACTGAACCATGAAAATGAGATCAAGGACAATGGACATATGAGAGACGGAAATTTCGTAACATAAGGCATCTATATACAAAGTATGAAGCATCCAGGTCTTCTAGCTTCTAAAATATAAAGCTTTTAAGAAATTAGCTAACGCCGCCGCCGTAGCCACTGCCGCCGGATCACTTTCCCTATGTCGAGCTTTCTGCGACAAAATAGTTCCTGTGCATAGCTGTAACTTTTAAACTTTGTAAAGTATTTGGATATCAAATGAAGGCTTCAGGAATAGGGATCACTGTAGAAACCATTGTTGAATGTTCAATTTGAACGAAAAAAAACATTCATTGTATGAAATTGAAATAGGAAGGCATATTTTGTTTTTGCATATAAAGTTAAGACAAAAAAGCTATTAATACTTGAAATTACAGAATTTAACATAGAAAGAATTGTGTCATCAATTGGTGGTTTTATTCTTTGATATCCCTAACAATTTATACTGCTTAATCAAAACTGAGATGACTGAGTTCAACAACCAGTAATTTTGTGAGAGAAAAAAATGTTTAAAAATCTTAATCCTTAAAATATGTACATCTCAGATGTGTGCAATCACCTGCAAAATAAAAGGTTTCTAGCTTTAAAGGCTGCAAAACAAGCAAAATGCGGTAAAATCAGTATGCTAATTTTCACAAAAATTTACCATGTTCAGTATTAATATACTTTTAATTTATTTTCAAATTCATTAGAATCAAAATTTTAATAATATGCATACCTTTGGTATATGTACAATTCACCAAAATAAAAAAGTATTTAGCTTAAAAACTGTCAGAAACATTAGGTGGACAAAGCAGGTGCCAAACATGCAAAAATTTCAAAAAAGTTCAAGAACCAGTCATTTTGTGAATTTGACTAGAATCAAAATCCTTAAAAAATGCATACCTTTGGTATATGAACAAATATTCTGTAAAACAAAAAAGTTCAGCTTGAAAACTGTAGATAGTTAAGCAGACAAACATTGTACATACATATGGACAGATTAGACAGACAGGCAGATGGACAGGGGTGAAACAATATGCACACACTTTTTGTCATTAGGCATAAAAATTACATTAAAAGCATTTCTCTACTTTTTGATTATCGTGATATCTTATTATACTCTGTATAATTTACCGTTAATTTTATTTCAGATAGTTTAAGTTAAATTTCAGAATTTTTTTTTCCAAATTTTATGACTTCAGGTATTACCAGTATTTAAAATTACATCTGGTTAAAAGTTTCATGTTTAGATGTCTGAGGTCTGTCACCAATAAGGTAAATTAAAACTAGAGGCTCTCAAGAGCCTGTGTCGCTCACCTGTATTTACTGATGCTTTGGAAATCATGTAAAATAAGGTTAAAATCATAATTAATAGTATTAGATATTAGATATTATAATGATATCTAAGATAATAACAAAAAACTGCAAAATTTTTGTAAAATTACTAACTCAGGGGCAGTAACCCAACAACGGGTTGTCGGATTCGTCTGAAAATTTCAGGGCAGATAAATCTAAATCTAATGAACATTATTGCCACCTGTCAGATTTGCTCTAAATGCTTTAGTTTCAGAGATATAAACCAAAAACTGCATTTTACCCCTATGTTCTATTTTTAACCAAGTCGGCCATGATGGTTGGAAGGAGGGGTCATCGGATGAATTTTTTAAACTAAATACCCTAATAATGATTATGGCTAAGTATGGTTAAATTTGTCTCAGTAGTTTCAGAGAAGAAGATTTTTGTAAAAGATTACAAAAATTTACGAAAAATTGTTAAAAATTGACTATTCAGGGCAATAACTCCTAAAGGGGTCGACTGACATTTTTGGTCATGACAACTTATTTGTAGATCTTACTTTGCTGAACATTATTGCTGTTTACAGTTTATCTCTATCTATAATAATATTCAAGATAATAACCAAAAACTGCAAAATTTCCTTAAAATTACCAATTCAGGGGCAGCAACCCACATCAGGTTGTCAGATTTGTCTGAAAATTTCAGGGCAGATAGATCTTGACCTAATAATCAGTTTTACCCTATGTCAGATTTACTCTATATGCTTTGGTTTCAGAGATATAAGCCAAAATCTACATTTTACCCCTATGTTCTATTTTTAGCCATGGCAGCCATCTTGGTTGGTTGGCCGGGTCATCGGACACATTTTTTAAACTAGATACCCTAATGATGATTGTGGCCAAGTTTGGGTAAATTTGGCCCAGTGGTTTCAGAGGAGAAGATTTTTGTAAAAAGCTAACGACGACGGACGCCAAGTGATGAGAAAAGCTCACTTGGCCCTTCGGGCCAGGTGAGCTAAAAAAATATATGGAATTCCATATAAATGATCATTCATATTCCAAGATGAGGGCAAAAATCAGTTTCACTAAGTTCCTGGAATACAAATAGCGATCTTTGTCAATGAAACAATTTTGTGAAAGGTTTAAAACAGTAATAAATAGATGTCAAATGTGTTTATACAGGTAACAGAAAAGTATGACCTCAAGATGGCTTCTTTATTGTAGTCATGTAAGGTAGTTTCTGGTGCAATAGTTCAAAAAAAAGAAGAAAAAAAGCCACTGCCTCATGCTTTTTTTTTACATTGGACAGAGAATCTTACAATTGTTTTGTATGGCCCATGTGAACATATGTTTTATATTATGCCTTGTATGACTAATTAGCAGTGTAGATATAATTCAATATACATTTTTTCACAATTTCATAATTGAAAAATGTTCTTACATTGTCATAAATAGCTTTCAACTTCTCCATTTCTAGTTGTGAGGTATCTAAATGCATTATTGCTGAAAAAAATAAATTTCAAATATTATTCAAATACTATGTAAAGTTTTTCTAAAACATTGTAATCAATAAAAAGACAAACTGACTGTAATAAAATTGAGAAAGTAAGTAATACTTCTTTAAAGGAACTTAAACCATTTCTATTTTTAATATCTTTTGTGAAAAAAAACCCAGTTTCAATATGTAACTGCATCAATCTCTATGTAAAAAATAGTACAGCATAAGCCCTATATCTGTTAACCTATTTTCTTGCCAGTAATTAATTTTGATTAAAACTGTACCAGCAAATTTTTACAGAATTTTTTGCTTAAAATCATTCTGATGAAATGGTTGGATTTATAAATCGGAGTTTTGCCATAATAATTTAAAATTCTTTTTTTAGTGGCTTCTGAAATTGACACATTGCAAGAATCTAGCTTCAACAACTCAGATATAATTTGGTTTTATCAGGATTTTGCGCTGGTCAATTTTCATCTTTTCCCATTGATTGTCTGTGTTTTAGAACATTTTTTACCCTCTACTTGTTTTGAAATTATTCATGTTTCTTTGGGTCAATCTAAGTGAAAACTCATACATACCATTTTCAATAACAAAAAACTCAAGTCGCAAACTTGATAACAAAATTCCAATAGCTTGGGAGCGTTTTGGTTCTATCACTTTAGCAAACTGAAAAAAATAATTTGGAACATGTAAATATTTTACAGCCACTCATTCATAAAAGAGGTTATTTCTATTTAAAAGAATAAAATCTATTTATACGTTTGATATCTGTTAAAATCAAATGAGTTAATACGGCAAACCTTAATAGCATATTTTATTTTAGGTTTACAGGAGTTCTGTCAATGCAAAACATTTTGAATATTGGCAAACATCAGTAATTTTTTAGCATGAGTGAGAAACTATCATTAAGAACCTTTATATAAAGCAATACCTATTCAATATTTTGTTCTCTGGCCTATTAGAGACACAAAAGCGCAGCTAGTCAGCAAGTTATATTTTCTTTAAATAACAATTTTAATAAATCAAAATAAAATAAAAAAAAAAAAAACATGGCGAGCTTACATTCTAAAGTGATGTATGGAATGAAGGATACAGACACCCTGCATTCTAAATTTCAAGTTAGTTTTTGAAGAAAGAATAATAATGAGATGTTCTATTCTTATAAGTCTTCTTAGGTGTAAAACAAACCTGTTTTGGTGGTGATTTACTTTTGGTGAGTCTAGACTTTCTGGTATTATCTATTGGCACTTTAGAGAACAGTTCATCCACTTCATCAAAATTAATTCTAGCTTCATCAATTTCCTCCCAGACTAGTCTGGCATTGGCATACCTGTAACATAGTTGATATTTCATTAATTTACATTCCAACACAAGAGAAACACAAAGAAAAACTCAAAGAATAGGATTTTCTCAGGCATCAATCTCAGTCTTGGCGAAGGAGAACATAAGATTTGTGGCCAAGGAAACTATTTTTAAAAATTTCTCAATTTTGCAGACAAAACCGCTGAATCTGTGTACATCAATAAATGAGGCTATTTTTGTTTAAAACAATTCTGTTTAACAGGAAATAAGTAAAATGGCAAAATTACACAAAATATTGCCTGTTTGACTTAATACTATTTTTACCAGCTGGGAAAAATAATTTTTAGCAGCACTTATGATTTAGTTTAATTATGCCAAAAAGCTCATGAACTTAGCCTCATTTATTTTGCTGAAGTCATGCAAATCTTCTAAATGACATCACTTTAATAACCACATTATATAGTTGTGTATGAACCTAAGCTAACATTTACATTATTTAAACAACTTATTGAATTGTTTTCAATGATGGTACCATGCAATTCATTTTTACTTTATTTAAATTAACAGCATCAGAAAAGCTTGATTATGCACCAAAGATAAGGTACCATATAATTTGCTTTAATCAAGATGACACATAAATCCTGTTGCCCACACATCAGACCAATGAGAGTATAAACATTTCAAATTTTAAGATGACTTAAAACATTATAAAGGGTTGATACTGTGCTGACATCTTTGATTTTGTGTTGACAGTTAGTTTTTATATTTATGCATACAATATAAGTTTTACTTACTCTTTATGTTTGGGTGACTTTATTTCATTAACAACAATTCTGTTCCAGAACAGCGGTTTCATGGGAGACTTGGTACTAATCAATGGCTTCAAAGAACCTGCAAAACATTGTTATATTTATCAAAATGAAAATTAATTTTTTGTGAAGAGTCACAGAATTTTTGAAAGGAGAATGATTTCACACTTTAGGAAAAATAGCTGTTCAATTTTCTTAGTCTTTAGATAACCATATAATGAAAATAGATAACTTACAACAAGAATGTTTGTAAACGAATAAACATATAAACAATAACAATATTGCAGAATAAAAATACTTTATAACTATAAGTTCTTTAATAAACTTTAACACATATATCACTACAGATATATAATGTTCATTAAACCTATTCAACTGGATATGCTTTTTGTTGAACAAAAATTTTTGGGAACTTTTGCTTTTAGATTGAATGAAATATTAACACTTGCAATTTTTTAAGTACTTCAACCGGGTGTCTATAGAAAGTTATAATTTAACCTAATGTTTTTTCCCCAAAACTACATCATTTAATGTGGAAAATTCATGTTTGTAATAAAATAATACTGTTTTCAAACTTATAGGTTTACTTTCGAAACTAGTAAAACATTCATATTTGTTATATTTCAAAGTGTTAGCTTTCACAATAAAATGTTAATGTACACTTCTAAAAATATTCCCTTGATAGGGAAGTGAGTTAAATGTGTGAAATTCAGTGACATACATTTTATATACAAGTAAAATTTTCCATTGTAGAAGATACATATCTCTGAAAACTTTGTAATACAAATGTACTGAGATATGTAAATAACTTATTGACATGAATAAACATTAAAAAACATTTTTTTCTGTAAAACTAGCAACTGAGAAAAAGTGCACAAGTGACTACATTCTATTAACATATAGTGTAGCAAATTCATTTACTACAAGCAGTTGGAAATATCCATTTGCAGTTGGCAACTGTAGGGAGTAATAAGGGTTTCCTTAAGATGCCAATTATTCCTTCTTCCATCTCTCTATCTGTTACTGGGTTACATACTAGAAACATCAAACATAAATGTCCTGTATATTAAGATATCCTTACAATAATTAAAAGTAGGGTACTCTTTAACTAATATATTGATTTTTATATCTTTAAGCCAACAAAAACAGAGGCAAATACACAAAATTTGTAAGGGTTCCGTGCAACCCAGTGTCTTGCCTACTTTTGCTGTTGTCTATGTTTTCAGTGTGATAGAAATTTTGGAAGAAATCCAGGATAGTTTAAGAAAGTTATTAAAATTTAAAAAACTTTAACCACAGATGAATATTTGTGGACGCCGACGACGACAGAATGTAGGATCGCTATGTCTCGCAGGCTCAACAAATATGGGGAAAAAATTTAAAAAAATGTTCTTCTAGACACTATCTTTTGATTGTAAGAAGCTTCTGTCCAAGTTTGGTAAAAATCCAGGATGGTTTATTAATCTAATAAATGTTTTAAAAACTTTAACTGCAGACTGTATGTAATGTTAACTGGAAGAAAAACTAAGTCCATTTATAAGTAATATACGGAAAAACAGGAAATAAATTTTTACAAAATTTCCTTCTAGATACTAGCTTTTGATCATAAACAAGCTTCTGTCCAAGTTTAGTACAAATCCAGGATAGTTTAAGAAATTTTTAAAACTTTAACCACAGAGTGAATGTAATGTTAACTGGCAGAAAAACTAAATCCATTTATAAGTAAAATACGGATAAACAGAATTTTTTTTTTACAAAATTTACTTCTGGATACTATCTTATGATCATAAACAAGCTTCTGTCCAAGTTTGGTAGAACCCATAGTTTAAGAAAGTTATTAAAATTTCAAAAACTTTAACTACAGAGTGAATATTTGTGGACACAGCCACCGACGGAATGTAGGATCGCTATGTCTCACTTTTGCGACAAAAGTCGCAGGCTCGACAATAAATTGAAAAGGGGTAAGATGGAACTCAAAACAATGGGAATACAAGGAGTTATGAATAGGGTGGAAACATATGGCCTCAGCACTGGGCTCCAATCCAATAAACCTAGTCTTAACTGATTATGCTGGAGAGGTCTTTTTCATGGCATACTCCCGACATACATAATGTCTGGAAATGCTGCACTAGAAAACATGTCAATCAAAAACAATCAAAATTTTTCTCTGGCATATATGAGCTGCGTCGGATAGAAATCAACCTTATGCAAGTGTACGTATACATGTACATGTATAAGACTTTGATTGATTTTTGGAACATTCAAATACAAAATAAAAGATGAATTTTGGTCTGTTTCGTAGATTTTCTTATAACAGCTCAATTTCATAACAGTTACAGACTTTCCAAAGAGATTTTTTCAACCCTAAATAGGTTAACAGATAAATTGATATTCATTTGCATAAGGTCGATTTCTATCCTACGCAGCTGACATAATAACCCATTTTTTTTAACTTACAATTTCCACAAAAGAAGGTCTTGGGACTGCTTGATATTCTTTCATGACATTTAAATTGGTAAAAACTATTGCCCCCAGTTCAATCATGAAAATTTTTTAAACACCTCTTCATAAATATACAAAATATTTTTAGGTAAATCAATAACCTTTGAGTATAACTAAAGATGTGTATAAAATACACATAATTTACATCAATTACAAGAGTACTAAAATGATCTCATTTACCTCTTCTCTGAAGCATTCCCGGTGCTGGCGGAGCTCCAGGGGGTCCAGGTGGTGGTGGAGGTGCTCCTGGTATTGGTGGAGGCGGAGGAGGAGGTATATCTGGTGGCGGAGGTGGTGGTGGCACTGGTATCGTTGGTACTCCTATATGTTCAGGAGAAAATTTTAATTTCTCAACAGGCATGTCCCCCTCCTCGCCATTTTCTTCAGGTATTGAAGGCACTAATCCATGAATACATTCTGGTGTAACAGCAGCCAAAGTGTGCTGCAAATGTGGTGTTCCTGTCACTGCTACACATAACTGTCCTTGGCTGTTATAGTAACCATTGGTCACATGACTAGCCTCTTTTTCAGCAGCATTTGCTTCAGATAAAGCAGTTTGTGAATGTTCCTCTATGCCAGCTAGTTTTTTATACCTTGCTACTTCCTGTTCAAGAAGGGCTATTTTCTCTACACAGTTTTGTAGTCTATTTTGATACTCCTCCCTACAGTGGTCTAATACGACTTGGTGACCTACCTGTAAAGTTTACAAAATATAATTTATCAGCAATATAAAATCATCAAGTAAATAGTCCATGTTAACTAATTGGTCCTTTGAATAAAGTTATTCTTAAAGGTTATCAATTTAGCACAGTAGTAAAATATCTAAACATTGTTTTTGTCAGTACTAACATTGATTTTGTTTTTGAAAAATTAATATGTAACTAAATATACAAACATGTATTGCTATATATGTACAGATTGTCTATCCTACATCCTGTCGATACTGTTTACATATATTTTGGCATTGCACAAGGTCATATGTTTCTCAGACTGTTTATGACGTCTTTACACTAAATCCCTTGGGTGTGTACAGATTGATACTTTAATCTTGGAGAACATGATTTATGAACATGAGTAATTGGCTTTGAAGTAGCTTTCAGTTACTGCCAGCTCGTATTTTGGTGCTTTGTGTCTATTGTTTTTGTGTCTCATACTGATCTTTTGAGTTAAGCCAATTTCAACTGATTTTTACAGTTTGTTCTTATGTTGTGCTGTTACACCACTGTTCCATTTTTATGTGCCTGTCCCAATACAGGAGCCTAGAGTCTGTCATATTTGTTTTTCTTAAACATTTTTTTTTAAATAAGGCTGTTAGTTTTCTCCTTTAAATTGTTTCACAATTTTCATCTCAGGCCTTTTATAGCCAATTATATGGTATGGGTTTTCTTACTGTTGAAGGTCATACATTGGTCTATAATTATTTATATCCACTTGATATGAACTCTGGTGGATAGTAGTCTTATTAGCAATCATATCACATCTTCTTATTCTTATTATAAAATTGTGAAAAATAATCAAAAACTAGGCATTTTTTTCATGCAGGGGCCATAATATTATGGCCTCTATCCCTAGTCTTGGCTCTCCATACTTCTTGGTGGCTAGCTGTATAATATAGACTTTGAAATTCATGCATGTCCCTTTCAAATTAAGGCTATCTATTGTTATGATCATCAGGCTGAAGGTTTAGTTTGGGCAAAAGTTTGAACTTTGAAATGGAAGAAAATGACAATTCTAGAGGGATAAGCTTTATTTCTTTGTCTGGCCTACAGAGTGTAGAGGTCTTCCACAACAGTGTTAACTTGCAGGAATATTACTACTTTCTGTGTTTATTACTCAAATAAGCTTCTGGTTACAGGTTCAAATGAAGCCAAAAATTAGAAAAGATAAGGAAAATCAGGATTTTCGGTTGAAATAGCCTTCATTACACTTGCCAAAACCAGATTTCTCAAATCAAAGCACTTTTGCAGTTTATGTTTTCGATGGAGTCTTTTCACTATGCAACCTACAGAAAGTTGCACCTATAAGTATCACTCGGCCATATAGGTCAAGAAAAAGACACAAAAAATCATACCTCACTGGAAGTTCAAGTAACTGTTTTAACTAATCTTTGATTCATGTCATACATTTGTAGTTTATTTTGGTGTTTAATAAAAATCTGTTTTATCTAAAATTTTATTTTCAAGAACAGTTTATTCTATGTTTATTGCTACCTTTTTGAATGTGACAAATTTTTCTGATAAGGTTTACAATACATTGAGGGGTAAAAATTTATCAAAAACATGTATATGACATTAGGGAGTTTGTTTCTATGTATGTTGCATTGGCGTTTGGTTTTTTCTGCACTTCAGTGTTTCAGTTGTTCTTATAGTTGATGTGTTTCCCTGGGTTTTAGTTTGTAACCTGGATTTGTTTTCTCTCAATAGATTTATGACTTTTGAACAGCGGTATACTACTGTTGCCTTTATTCATACAGTTTTGAAAACCAAACAAATTAGCATGATATAGAAGAAAAAAAATATAACAAAGGAACATCACGAGTAAATACTAACCTCAACTTTATCCAGCTCTGTCTTATATTCATTTCTCACATGTACCAACATGGCTTGCTGGTCTATAAAATAAAAAACAAAACAAGGTAATGAGCTATTACTCGTTGACATCCCTAGTTATTTGACAAAATTTATAAGTAGTTTTAGTGACTGAAACGAATATAAAATAAATGTTTGAACAAAAATATAAAATTAAATGTGTATGTACAAAGTTGTTAATGGAAACAAAACTGTAACACGATTGCGCAATCATATATATTTTTGCAGTTATAAGGCTTTGCATTAATAAATGCATAATTGTCATACTTTGCTTTCATTACGATTAGTTCGATAAGTATTTTCGTGGATTTCATGGGTAGAGGTTAACCACAAATTTAAATGTTCAATAAATGGGAAATATGTCCATGGGACACATATGCCCCTGCTTGCATATAATGTTATAAAGGGACATAACTTAAGAACAGTAAAAGTGACGCAACCAAAATTTGAACTTGATCTGTGTTTTGTGGTTATAAGGATTGTGTATAAGTTTCATAACATTTGGTTGAGGCAAACTAAAGTTAGAGAACGGAAACCAATTTTGGGATGTATGGACAGACTATGACCAAACTACGAAATCTAGTAACCAATAAAAATGGTACCCACGAATATACAAATTTGATTTTTGTATGCACCATTAAAACAAATATTGACATAAACAGTTTTTTGCCACTTTTAAGCCAAAGGAGCTTTTTAATTAAGGAACCAATCTCTGGACATTTCATTCATCTGAAATCCTATACAAGTTCACAAAAAATAAAATGCTTTGCTGAGCACAGCCTGATACGACCGCAGAGGTCAAACCCTGAACAGTTGGGGCAAGTTTGGACACAATATTCAAGCTTGATACTGTCTGAAATTGGATTGTGATCAAATTTTTGACATAATATAGGTTTCTGACACAAAATAAAGATGGTCAAAGATCTTAAAAATTTGAAATGGGACATTTAATTTACCTAGAATGGTCTGATATCCAAAATCTAACAACATGGTTAGATTCAGCATATAAAAAAACACCAAAAATTTAATTTTAATTGAAATCAAACAAAGTTTAATTTTGGAACCTTCAAACCTTAATATGGACTAATTTGAAAACAGGGCCCAAAATAAAAAATCTGATAAGATTCAGCATATCATACAGCCGCAATAATTCAGTTTTTGATGAAATCAAACAAAGTTTAATTTTGGACCCTTTTGACCTCAATGTAGACCAATATAAAAATGAGGCCCAATATCCAAAATAAAATGCTTCGCTGGGGCGCAGCTTGATACGACCGCAGAGGTCGAACCCTGAACAGTTGGGGCAAGTATGGACACAACATTCAAGCTTGATACAGCTCTGAATTTGGATTGTTATTAAATATTTGACACAGCATAGGTTTCTGACACAGAAAGAATGTGGTCTAAGAACTTGAATTTTTTTAATTTACCTATTATGGTCCAATGTCCAAAATCAAAATACATGGTTAGATTCAGCATATCAAAGAACCCCATATATTCAATTTTTGTTAAAATCAAACAAAGTTTAATTTTGGACCCCAACTTGGACAAACTTGAAAACTGGGCCCATAATCAAAAATCTAAACACATGTTTAGATTCAGCATATCAAAGAACCCCAAGAATTCAATTTTTGCTAAAATCAAACTAAGTTTAATTTTGGACCCTTTGGACCTTAATGTAGACCAATTTAAAAAACGGGACTTAAAATTAAAAATCTAAATACACGGTTAGATTTGGAATATCAAAGAACCCCAATAATTCAATTTTTGATGAAATCAAACAAAGTTTAATTTTGGACACTTTTGACCTCAATATGAACCAATTTGATAGCAGGGCCCACAAATAAAAAATCTAAATTCATGGTTAGATTCAGCATATCAAAGAACCCCATATATTCAATTTTTGTTGAAATCAAAAAAAGTTTAATTTTGGACCCCAACTTAGACCAACTTGAAAACTGGGCCCATAATCAAAAATCTAAACACATGTTTAGATTCAGCATATCAAAGAACCCCAAGAATTCAATTTTTGTTAAAATCAAACTAAGTTTAATTTTGGACCCTTTGGACCTCAATGAAGACCAATTTAAAAAACGGGACCCAAATTAAAAATCTAAAAACACGGTTAGATTTGGCATATCAAAGAACTCCAATAATTCAATTTTCGATGAAATCAAACAAAGTTTAATTTTGGACCCTTTTGACCTCAATATGAACCAATTTGATAGCGGGGCCTACAAATAAAAAATCTAAATACATGGTTAGATTCAGCATATCAAAGAACCTCATATATTCAATTTTTGTTGAAATCAAACAAAGTTTAATTTTGGACCCCAATTTGGACCAACTTGAAAACTGGGCCCATAATCAAAAATCTAAATACATGTTTAGATTCAGCATATCAAAGAACCCCATATATTCAATTTTTGTTGAAATCAAACAAAGTTTAAATACTGGACCCTATCTTGGACCAACTTGAAAACTGGGCCCATAATCAAAAATCTAAACACATGTTTAGATTCAGCAAATCAAAGAACCCCAAGAATTCAATTTTTGTCAAAATCAAACTTAGTTTAATTTTGGACCCTTTGGACCTCAATGTAGACCAATTTAAAAAACAGGACCCAAAATTAAAAACCTAAATACACGGTTAGATTTGGAATATCAAAGAACCCCAATAATTCAATTTTAGATGAAATCAAACAAAGTTTAATTTTGGACCCTTTTGACCTCAATATGAACCAATTAGATAACGGGGTCCACAAATAAAAAATCTAAATACATGGTTAGATTCAGCATATCAAAGAACCCCATATATTCAATTTTTGTTGAAATCAAACAAAGTTTAATTTTGGACCCCAATTTGGACCAACTTGAAAACTGGGCCAAAAATCAAAAATCTAAATACATGTTTAGATTCAGCATATCAAAGAACCTCATATATTCAATTTTTGCTAAAATCAAAAAAAGTTTAATTTTGGACCCTTTGGACATTAATGTAGACCAATTTGAAAACTGGACCCAAAATTAAAAATCTAAATACACTGTTAGATTCGGCATAACAAATAAATAAATGTGATCAAAGATTTTACAAATCTAATGCGCCATACTGTGCAATTAAAGATTACTTCTTGAAATTTTTCAATATTTGAAATTTGAAAAAAAAATAATATTTGAAGAATAATTCTTTTTAATTTCTGAAATCTGAAATGAGAAAAAATTGGCCCCCCACAATTTCTTTTTATCCCCCCCCCCCCCTTTTTCCCCCCAAAAAATTCTTTCCCTCAAGATATGGTCATAATCTCAATTCAAATTTCCAATGGAGTTGGCAACCATAATTACCCATTTAAATTTACCATAGTGCTAACTTAATCTATTTTATAATAGAATTAATAAAAATATAGTGTCAAATCTTTCATATGGATTTTTTTGTAAAAAAAAAAGATGAAAACATTTGCAGATATTTTTACTGGTCTTCCTTTATAAATATGCATTTCTTTAAACATAATTTAAAAGCAGTGTAAGGGAAGTAACCAAAACATTGTATTTGGATTACCTCCCTTACACTGTTTTAGATTATCTTTATTGTTCATTAACCATTACTTTATACATAATTTAAAAGCAGTGTAAGGGAGATAATTTCAATGATGTATTTGATTTATCTCCCTTACACTGCTTTAAATTATGTTTTGTACTAAAGTATTTGTCCATTAACCAGGACAACCTTGTTTTCCCCCTTTTTTGCCCCTAATTCCTAAACGGTTTGAGCCATAACCCCCCAAAGCAAATCCTAACCATCCCTTTGTGGTATGGAAACTTGTAGTATAATTTCAGAGAGATCCATACACCGTTCCACAGTTATTGTCTGGAAACTAGAAAATGCTCATTTTTGGCCCCTTTTTGGCCCCTAATTCCTTAACTGTTGGTACCAAAACCCCCAAAATCAATCCCAACCTTCCTTTTGTGGTATTTAACCTTATGGTCAAATTTCAAAAAGATCCATTCACTTAAACTAAAGTTAGAGTGCGAAAACCAATATGTATTCGGACGACGACGACGCCGGACGACGACGACGTCATACCAATATACGACCACAAAAATTTTTGGCGGCCGTATAAAAATTATTCAAGGTTAAAACCCCCAAAAATTAAAGACTTTAAATTAATCCCATCGAAATTGGTTAAAAGATTTGCATTTATTTTCAATTGAAGATTTCTTGCTATTGCGCAATACTGTGTATTTGAAGATTTCTTGTTATTTTGCAATACTGTGCTATTGCGCAATACTTTGCAATTGAAGATTTCTTGCTATTGCGCAATACTGTGCTATTGCGTAATACTGTGCTATTGCGCAATACTGTGCAATTGAAGATTTTTTGCTATTGTGCAATACTGTGCAATTGAAGATTTCTTGCTATTGCGCAATATTATGCTATTGCTCAATACTGTGCAATTGAAGACTTCTTGCTATTGCGCAATACTGTGCTATTGTGCAATACTGTGCAATTGAAGATTTCTTGCTATTGCGCAATACCGTGTTGTTGCGTAATACTGTGGTATTGCGCAATACTGTGCAATTAAAGATTTCTTGCTATTGCGCAATACTGTGCAATTGAAGATTTCTTGCTATTGCGCATTACTGTGCAATTATTTGAAATTTCAAAAATTTTGTTGAAAAAAAATATGAACCCCCCAAAAAAATAGGAAAAAAAAATATCCCCCAAACTTTTTGAACCCCCCCTTGGAGTAATTACCCCCAAACTCAATCCCAGCCTTCCCTTTGTGGTATGGAACCTTGTAGAACAATTTTAGAGAGATCCATACACTTAAACACAAGTTATTGTCTGGAAACTAGAAAAATGCTTGTTTTTTGCCCCAAATTCCTGAACGTTAGGGGCAATTACCCCCAAACTCAATCCCAGCCTTCCCTTTGTGATATGGAACCTAGTGGTACAATTTCAGAGAGATCCATAAACTTACACACAAATAATTGTCTGGAAACTAGAAAAATGCTTGTTTTTTGCCCCTTTTTTGCCCCAAATTCCTGAACGTTAGGGGCAATTACCCCCAAACTCATTCCCAGCCTTCCCTTTGTGATATGGAACCTTGTGGTACAATTTCAGAGAGATCCATACACTTACACACAAGTAATTGTCCGGAAACTACAAAAATGCTTGTTTTTGGCCCCTAATTCCTATTCTGTTGGTACCATAACCCCCAAAATCAATCCCAACCTTCCTTTTGTGGTATTGAACCTTCTGGTAAAATTTCTTAGAGATCCATTCACTTAAACTAAAGTTATTGTCCGGAAACCAAATATGCTTCTGACGACACCGACGACATCAGAGCATTATACGACGCAAACAATTTTTTGCGTTCCTATAAAAAACCAACACACCAAGTTATGACTAACAAGTGATTTTTTTAAAAGAATGATCAATTGATTGACGTTTGCTTTAATTCACATCAGAGCAAAAGGCTATATCACTGAGATTTTTATTAAGAGGATTAAAAAAGGGTTACTGAAGTTAAGTTACTTACCTGCCTCTGTAAATTTACGTCCTGCTTTTAGTTCTTCTTCACTCAGATATTGTGGTGGGGGCCACGAGGGTGTAAGTTTACAGATCTCATTTTGTTGTTTTGTTACAGGTACTTCTGTATGGGTCCAGTAGTACATACAATCACCCTGGAGTAAAAAATATTTATAACATAAATAAACTTTTGATTCTACGTAAAAGAGCAAAATTCATAGAAACACCATGGAATAATAAGCATCTATATGACTCAAACATATTTTATTCTGAACTAATACAGCAAACAATACTGTATAACATGTCAATAATGAAACAGCTGACAAAATTGTATAACATAACAATAATGAAAGAACTGACAAAATTGTATGACATATCAATAACGAAACAACTGACAAAATTGTATGACATATATCGGTAATGAAACAGCTGACAAAATTGTATGACATATCAATAATGAAACAGCTGACAAAATTGTATGACATATCAATAATGAAACAGCTGACAAAATTGTACGACATATCAATAACGAAACAACTGACAAAATTGTATGACATATATCGGTAATGAAACAGCTGATAAAATTGTATGACATATATCGGTAATGAAACAGCTGACAAAATTGTATAACATATCATTAATGAAACAGCTGACAAGACTGTATGACATATCAATAACAATGAAATAGCTGACATTATTGTATGACATATCAATAATGAAACAGCTGACAAAATTGTATGACATATCGGTAATGAAACAGCTGAAAAAATTGTATGACATATATCGGTAATGAAACAGCAGACAAAATTGTATAACCTATCATTAATGAAACAGCTGAAAGACTGTATGACATATCAATAATAATGAAACAGCTGATAAAATTGTATGACATATCGGTAATGAAATAGTTGACAAAAATGTATAACATATCAGTAAGGAAACAGCTACATGTGTATGACATAATCAAATCATAATGGCAGATGAAACTAAAAGTACAAATTTATCAACATTCCCCAAAATTAACTCTATCAATATAGCTCTAAGACTCAATAAAACTGAAATCATAAATATTAAATGAAAGGAATATTGTTTCCACTGGAAGAAATATTACAGTATTTGTTCCTGACAGAATAAAGGGTATAGAATATTTGTTCCAACAGGAACAGATATTACACTATTGTTTATAGCAAAGTTTGCAGAGGAACTTCTGTTAGGAGGAACAGATATATGATGACAGGTAGACTGTGTAGACAACAAAGTGAAAATAAAGATCAGTGACATGGATCTTAGAGAGAGAGAAAAAGCTTAGGTTGAGGATGGTTGTCAGTTCTGTTTTGGGAGAATCTATAGTCAACTGGTAATCCTATATCATTAGTATCAATATATTTACAAGTATGTTTGACCAACCTTAGTTTTTCTTTATCGTTTGTTACACTCCTTGAGATGCATTCCTATCAAAAATTTTACATAAAAGTAGGCCACTTATTGTATCACAAAGATAAATTTTGACATGAATTTTGTCTGCTACAATCAAGTCACTGTTTACTATCACCAAAATCCATATTTTTATCAGAATCTGCAGGTACCTCATTTCTTAAACAAAGGCCCCTTGAGGTCATAATAGTTACATTCCGATAAATGATATATAAAATTCTTGTAAAGTAAACAAATTACATAAATAATTTAGGTTATAGCATACGTTTCACTAGTTTTAAGTAAAACACACTTAAGTTAAGATCATGTTTACAAATTTGATCTTAGGTTCTACAAAATAAAGAAGTGCTTAATAAAGAATGTCATGAATTAATTAATTATTATGTAAGGTACTTCCGTATATGCTAACAGGAGCTATTGTTCATGTAAAAGCTGTCAATCAAATATCAAATAACCTACTTCTATGTAACCCTTTTCATGAAAGTTTTATGGCTATAATTTCCGGATCTGGTTTAACAAGCAAGATAAAACAATTCCATGAGACAAAAACTTCATCAAAATTCAATAACATTCAGCAGAGAATATGATACAAATCAGATGGAGTTCCTACTTGGATGTTGTTTTCACTTCCCCTCCCCAAACCGCAAAAAAAAAAATAATCATAAAGAGTCTCTAAAAATTGACCAAACACAAACTTAACCAAGATCAATAAAGCATGAAATATAGATCACAGATTACTTTCACCTTGAAGCTGTTTTACTTAGAGTACATCTATATTTGACACTGGTGGTCTTTAGTCATATCTTAATACTTTTTGTTATTTTGAGAATTTGGTATTGATGGTAGATCTTAGTCAGTCTCTGTTAATTCTTTTTATTTATTTATAACTTTTAAAACTCAGAGCAAATGATAACTTGATGTCTGGTACTCAGACACCTGTCTATTGTTTTAAGACTGTACCTTAACCTCTAAATGTGATCTGTTTATCTAGGTTGCCATCTCATTACAATTAATATGGATAATTGCCTCACTTAAAATGGTACTTAGAAATAAACTTTTTCTAATAAATTTTTGATTACATTACATTTTTTCAAAGTACCAAAGAAATTTTCATGTAAAAAAAGCATGAAAAGTAAGTTCTTGTGTCACTTATTGGAGACAAATGAAAAAAAGTTTTGGCTCCTATGTAAATGGGTTTTCTCTTCATTTTTATATTTAGTGACCATCTCTAAATTCTTCACTGATTAACAGTTTTTCAAGGTATTACAAGGTGTATTATATCAATAGTGTTATTTACATCTTATGAGGTCAAAATGACTAAGTATACATCCCTTATCTTAATAATATGGATTCTAATCTAATTTCCTCTTTTAAGTCAATTTACATACTTCATTTACATAATATATTCGGTAAATTAAAGCAACAGGGTCTATTAATCAAATGAACAACAACAAAGTGTGAAAAATAATACCTTATTAGTCAAATACTACTGATTTAACTAGGAAAGGAATTTGACATTCTCATGAATGAAAGTCCTTAAAGAATATGAAACCTCTTCGTCAATGTTAACATAGTTTGAATATTGTTTATATTTTCCTTGGAGATAAATGATATCTCCTTTCATCAACTCCAAACTAAACACGGCATGACAGGTCATATTAAAACTCAGTCAAGCTTGATAATTTTGTAATAGTTTAATATCTGTATCATTTCATCTCAATATGCATCTGTCAGATAACAATACATTAAGATGAATTTGTTTAACCAGGCCATATTGTGTCCGAAGTCAGGAGCTTGTAATTCAGTTGTCATTTGTTGCTATAAATAATATTTGTTTTTTGTCTGTTGTTTTGTTCATAAATCAGGCTGTTAGTTTTCTCATTTGAATAGTTTTACATTTGTTATTTCGGGGTCTTTTATAGCTTACTATGTGATATGGGTTTTGCTCATTATTGAAGGCATTAAATGACCTATAGTTGTTAACTTCTACATCATTTGGTCTCTGGAGGAGAGTTTTCTCATTGGCAATCATTCCACATCTTCTTATTTTTATATTGATTTCTAAATTACTTCATTAAAACATGCATCAGAAGCTTAAGGCTAACCTTTCCCTTTTTAAAGATTGTCATTTTTTCTAAATTTCATTTTTTGTAAAGAAAAACCAACAAGCACCAAAGCCATGAATCTGGTGGTCACCACAGTCAGAATATACAAAATGTACAATGTCTTTTGTCTGATTTAGTTCATGACCTCATAATGTCAATTTCTATCATATAAATCTTGGCCTTTATAAATAATCATCAAGTGAATTATGGGATAGAATATTTTAAGATGAAAAAACAGGAACAATGAGTGTTGTTAGTTCTTTGATTGTGGGCATTCAGGTTATTAGGGAATAGCTTTCTGACTTCCAGTCAATTATAGAGAAAAGGATGAAAACAATTCTGTCTAAATTAAGCAACAGACAACAAAATTTGTTCTAATTATTAGCAACAGACAACAAAATTTGTTCTAATTATTAGCAACAGACAACAAAATTTGTTCTAATTATTATATAAGTCTTTGCCACAGATCGTTTGTGAGGACCAATTTGTTAGTGATTTGATTTACTACCAGGTCTCTCCCATAGGAATAAATACTTGAACTGGCTTTTTTTTACTTTCATAATATGCAGGGATACAGTGAAAAAAAAAGTAAATGGTACTATTTTCCTCATTGTTGAAGGCTGTATGGTGACCTATTGTTGACATTTTCTTGTCCTAATGGATATTTGTCTCATTGGCTATCATTGATTGTGTACATTCAGGTCAGTTGGGAAGAGCTTTCACACCTCTGATCCATTATAGATCAAAGGGTGAAAGGAATGTTGTCAAAATTTAGAAATAGACAACAAAATTTCTTCTTATAGTTAAGTCTGTGACACAGGTCTTTATAAGGACCAATTTGTTACTGAATTGGTTTTGTGCCAGGTCTCTCTCATAGGAATAAATCCTTGATGTATCATTTATGACTTTCATTATTTGGATGGGATATAGTAAAGACAAAATATGGTACGATTTTCCTCATTGTTGAAGGCTATATGGTTACACATCCTTATCCTTTGGTGAATATTTGTCTCATTGGCAATCATACCACATCTCCTTACTTTTGGTATATTGACTAATGAATGATATCAGAATGGTGTATATAGTGGCCGAGCTTTCAGAGTGGTAGTCATAAGCTGAAAGGTTCTATATGTGATGACCTCCTTAAGAATGAGAAATAAATCTACAAGCTTAAGGACCTGTAAATCTTAAATAATTTGAATTCTGAACAAATTTGCTTAACAATGTATGCAATTTGAATTTCTTGTGTAAGAATTGTATTTATGGTTATGATAATGTCATTCATAAAACAAAAGCTGCTACATGTACATACATATTTTTATGCCCACTCAAAAAATATTGGAAAAACAATTGTCTTACTAAAACATTTACCAATTATTTGTAGATGATTCATGTAACAATCGATACCCATCCTAATAAGTTACATTAAATATAATTGATTGATTAAATCATTTGAAATTTTAAAAATAACTTTAAAATTCAATCATCTATCTTCATAATCGCATATTTAAAATGACATTAACTTTGAATGATCATATGTAAAAAATCTTAGGTATGTTGAAAGAAAACCTTGGTTTTTCCAGATCACCGACTTGATCTTTATCCTTAAAAAAATA